CATTTGTTTGTTGTTTTATTTGTTTTGTTTTTTATTTTATTTTTGTTTTTATTTATATCTTTATTATTTTTATTGTCTTATTTTTGTTTATATATTTCTTTTATGGTTTTATTTGTTTTATTATTTTATTTTTATTGTTTTGTTTTATTATTTTATTTTTATTGTTTTTTTGTTTGTTATTTATATTTGTTTAATTTTAGTTTTATATTTTCCTCATTTGGTTGCTATCTATATTTGCTTTTTTTGTTTTATTTTTGTTCTTTTTTATTATATATGTTTGTTTATTTTTTCTTTATTTATATGTGTTTGTTGTATATGTAAATATATAAATGTATAAATATATAAATGTGAAAGTATATATGTAAACAGATAAATATATAAATATAAGTATATAAATATAAATATATAAATATAAATATATAAATATAAATACAAAAATATAAATATAAATATATAAATATAAATATATAAATATATAAATATATAAATTTCTGTTTTTTGTCGTTTTGCTGCAGCGCCAAAACTCTAAGGCCGAGAGAAGCAGCAAATATTGCCCTCTGCCTGCAGCGACTGCAGCAGCAGCAGCAGCAGCAACAGCAGCAGCAGCAGCAGCATGAGCAGCAGCAGCAGCAGCAGCAGCAGAAAGTTGAGCAGCATCGGTGGCCGCCAGCTGCATGGATAGAGGAGTACTTTAAGCGCCTCAGTGATGTACAGCTAAACCCTAAACCCTAAACCCTAATCCTAAACCCTAAACCCTAAAACCCTAAACCCTAAAACCCTAAAACCCTAAAACGCTAAACCCTTTACTAATAATATATACAAATAAATATATTATATTAATATTATTATATTTTAATATAATAATATATTAAAACAAACAAAAACAATAAAATAAATAAATGGCGAAACAAAAGGGGGGGAGAACACCATATTGGCTGTTGTTGCTGCTGCTGCTGCTGCTGCTGTTGCTCTTGCTGCTGCTGCTGTTGCTGTTGCTATTGCTGCTGCTGCTGCTGCTGCTGCTGCTGCAGGCAGCAACGGAGAAACACTGGGTGGAAGCTGAGCTGCGCGATGCAGCAAACGCTGCATTTGCTGCTGCTGCTGTTGCTGCTGCTGCTGTTGCTGCTGCTGCTGATACAACATCTGCTGCTTCTCCTTCTGCTGCTGCTGCTGCTGCTGCTGCTGCTGCTGCAGCACCGATTCCATGCCGTTTGCTGCAGCTTGCTTT